ATGAGGTCTCACCAAGTTGCCTGGGTGGGTCTCGAACCCGCGGGCTCAGGCAATCCACTCTCCTTGGCCTCCCAAAGTGCTGGGATGACAGGCTGAGCCACCGAGCCTGACCTCAAAGGGCCTCTCTAAGCATTCCTCCTACTGTGGCCTGGGCTGTCTCCAGACCTGTGTTCTCTCACTTCTTGGAGGACGGATGACAGGCCCTGACCATCCTGCCTCAGTCCCCCTCGTGTCCTTGGGGTTAAGTGGAGACAGGCACTTGGTCAGTCATGGTGGGAGATGGCCCGATCACACGGGGGACCAAGTGGGCACTTAGGATGACTCCCATCAGCGCTGTGTCCAGCGGTTGACAAAGCGCCTCCGAAGACATCAGGCCCTCTTCTCGGACACAGGTGTGTGCAGCCTTGTGGCATGCAGCATGCTGTGAAAAACCCACGTCTTGCCCCCAGAGGGTGCCGTGGGGGGCTGTGTGGGGACGCCAGGGGGGAGCCTGGCTTGAGACAGGGCTTCTGCCTGGTCTCACACGGCTGAGCTCCTTTGACAGCTTGTCATCCCTTTGTCACAGGAATGTGAGCAGTGACGCCACCTCTCCGAGCCCAGGTCCCATAGGCTCAAGTGGGCACAAGCACACCTGTCTTGCAGGGTTTGTGGGGTTCCCGAGCCAGACCCGAGAAGAGCAGGCCGGAGGACAAGTCCTACGGTCACAGCTCTGTGGCTGGGTCTCCGAGCAGGCGGGGTCAGGGTCTAATTTCAGCACTGCCCCTGGAGGGTGCCCAGCTTGAGGCCTGATCCCAGGAGGGGGCTTTTATATGTTGCCGAAAGGAACCATAGCGAGGATCTGGTCCAGGGCTTCCCAAACGGAGCACCACCTCCCAGGTTTTTCCATGGCCGTGTGCCATCTGGACTGTCACCTGCCGGCCACCTCCTCCACATGGAAAACTTCCCTCTGCTTGAGCCTCTGCTAAGCAAGGCTTCCTGGGACCTGGTGGTTTGGGTGGCTGGTCGGGTTTACCCCATACTTCCTGCCAGTATGACTATGGCAAGTCACTTGCCCATGGGGAAGGGGCGACCACCCTTGGTGCTCCCTGGCTCGCTCATTCACACCCCTCTCACGGACACTCTGCCCAAGAGCCAGCGGAGCCATGGGCCGAGGAAGTCGCCCCCCGGGTCTCTTGGTGCCCAGGACGGGAGCCTCCCACAGCCAGCTTGCAGGCATCAAGATGCTCTGGACACAGCGCCCAGTCCCAGCAGCCCCTCCTCATTGCTGACCATCCTGCCCGGGGTTCTCAACCCGCCTGCCAACCTGCTTGGCACCAGGGTCTCCAGGTGGCCCCGGGAGAGCCAGGTGGCCGGGAAACTCCACGGGCAGGTCTGAGCGACGTGGCCCCTCAGAGGCACCACGTGACGGGAGGTGGCTGGGACCCCCGAGTGCTCTGAGGTTTCGCGCCCTGAGCGCCAGCCTCCGTCCTCCACCACTCTGTCCCCAGGCTCTCAGTTCAAGGGGAAGTGTGGATTCAGGCTTCTGTGAATAGACCATTTATAAGCTCTCCGAATGGGGTCCTGCCTGACCCCCCCCCGAACAGAGACGCACCTTGTTCTCTTCCCCAGGGCCCTGGCAGGCAGGCGAGGCGTCGGTCCTGCAGGCCAGCCTCCGGGAGGGGTGACCACGTCTGGCACGCAATCATTCATTCATCCACTCACTATTTTGCTCCATGCATTCATTCATTCACCACATTCTTTCCCTCGGTCTCTTGCTCTGACCGTGACCCCACGGTCGCTTCCCCGTGTCCCTGCGAAGGCCCTAGACTAGACCCAGGAGCACAGGTGGCCTGAAGCCCAGCCCCCGCTCTAGGGACCCTTGGTCCTGGGTCTTCGAGGACCATGGGAGACGGCACGTGTAACACCTCAGCGGAGTCCTGCTCCCTGCAGAAAACACCCAGACGAGCGTTGGCACGCATGCTCTCTAGTTGGTTGAGCGCTCCTAGGATGGTACTTGGGGAAGGCCCTGGGCCTGGCTCCAGGAGCACTGTTCAGAAACTGCAGGCCTATGAGATGCCCGGGGCGAGCAGCCCTGCAGGAGCGAGGAGCTCCAGGATGTGGAATCGATTTCAGCCAGTCGGTGCCGGGGACAGCTCCAATGCAAACGGCTCTGATGGGCCTCAGAGACCTGCCGGCCAAGGCTGTCCTGGGACAGCTCCGCCCCCTTCCTCCTGCCTCCCCTGCCCCAGGCCCCACGCCTGGGGCAGACCCTGGAGCTGACAGGAGAGGAAGGAGCAGCCATCCCGGGAAGGTGTGGGGCTGAGTGGGGCGGCAGACACAGCGACAACTGTGTCTACAAGCCTGGGCATCTACACAGTCCAGCAGCGTAGGCAAGGTATGGCCACTGGCCAAGGCCCAGCACTGCTGCCTGGGGCCATGCAACCTAGAACAAGACGGGCCTGAGCCTCTCTGAGCCTCAGTTTCCCCGGTAGAATGAGGGGAGGCAGTCGTGGGCAGCTGTGGGGATTCTGTAGGGTGATGCGTTCAGACCCCCCCCACCGCCCACTACCTGGCAGACAATCAGTATTCATGACGCAGCGGTCATGGGTGGCTGCCACTGAGAGTCTGTTCTGGGCCTCGGAGAGACTGGGGGCAGGTGACGGGTGGTGTCAGAGCACTTGGGCCACCGCCCTGCCCTCCCTAAGCTTATCATGCAGGTCACAAGGCGCTGATGAGCTTGAGATGCACACGGGGCCTTGGCAATTCCTGCTGCAGTTCAGGGACAAAGAGCTGCTTGGAGGTGCTGTCAAGGCAGCATCAGTCATTGCTTACCGCAGGGGGCCCATCACCGCACTGTCACCACATTCCAGGAGAGATCAGCCCTGTGGCCAAGCATCAGTGTGATTATCTCACACGCATAGCCACTCCAAGCAATTTGAGGAACTTGGGGAGGAAACAACTTGATTTGCTCGAGATAAGAACATGTTTCAATGATCACCAATTTCCCTCTTGGCGTAGCAGGCTGGTTTCTCACTCTGGTTGGGGACATCCGCGTGATCCCGGCCAGGGTGGGGATGCCACCGCGGCCTGGGCTGGGACAGGACGCAGAGCCTGGCCAATTCCCTAGACCGTCACGGCTCAGAAATCCCAACGCCTTGTCCTGCTCCCAACTCCTGTGAGCCCGCAGGCCCCGGCGTCCCCTCTCAGCAACTCTGGCTCCTGACAGTTGACAGCAGTGACAAGGTCAGTGATGGGTGGCACCGCTCCCGTTTTCGAGGCGGGAACGGGCCCTCCTATGGGCAGCCTGGGGAGACACAGCCGTCGCCTCTCCCCACGAGTCAAGTGCGCATGCACTAGTCCAGAGGAGAAACAAAGGCTCCCCTTCAGCCCGTGGGACCCACAGGAAACGGGTCTCTTCACCCGAGTTAGCAGGAAGTAGTTATGAGTGAGGAGAGGGGAGGGGAGTTCCCCTTTTGGAGTGACGGGACCGTGGCCTGCCTGGGAGGCCAGGGCCATAGTTTGTTGCACACATTTGTTGTTCCTAGCCTCCTAGATGAGGCTAGGAATGTGTGCATATGGTGTGCATGTGCACACACAGGAAATAGGATGCGTGGAGAGAACACGTGTGTACCAGTGCGTCTGGAAAGGCGGTTTGACCAGAAGCCTGGGTGATGGCCACAGCAGGTGGGCAGACACGATCGCTGGGCCGGCAGTGCTTGGCATCCGTCTTCCTGTTGCCTGGGCCTCACTGACCACCCTACATACACGTCTAGAGACACGTGCCGCGGCTCCTTGGCAGGGCAGGGGGGCTGAGGGGTTGCCCCATGGGGCCATCCAGAGGCCGCCACCAGATGATGCGTGGGAGGAGGCTGCACTGCCAGCCTGCAGGCAGGTGCCCAATGGGCCCTGTGCCTAGGACCCGAGCT